CTCCTATAGCACATACACAACCTGCCCCTCTTTCTCATAGTTCCCCTTTCCTATACGCAACCCGGGTTTCTCAACGTCGGCACATTTGACAGGCAGGGCCAAATAATTCTCTATGGCACGAGAAGAATCCGTTCATTTGTAGAATCGCTCATAGCAACTGTACCTACCGAATGCCAGTAACACCATCTATACTCTTCAGGCTGTGAAAACCAAAAATATCTCCAGGCATCATCAAATGTGTCCTGAAGACTAAAACGATCCCTTGTGGATACCAGTGGTACAGATGAGATGATCTCTGCCTGGCCCCCTTTACTAAACTTAAAGAATAATAACCATAATAAAGCAACTCAGGAATGAGTATGAAGTCTCCAAATAAAATCAGCCTTACCATCACATCCTTCACTTAGACCTCATCAAAAAAAAAAAACATCTGAACTGAGCTATGGGCGGAAGCTCCCATGCTCCTTTAAATTCAGTTTCAATCATTTTAATAACTGAAAATGTCCACTGTTCCAAAAACCCCTCCACTATTCAAAGAGCGCCTGGATCTTTTCCAGCCAGGCATAGCCCATATCTGACCACAGTTCTGAGGACAACAAACACTCCTGTTTTGAAGGTATTCTAATCCGATGATCAAAGAATCCTGACAATAAAAATGGTTAACAGAGGCCAATGCACTTATTTAAACGCTGCCTAATAGGAATAATATTCCAGAACAGTTCGGCCTAATGAATGAAATCATGCTTCTTGCTTAAACAATAACCTCACCGTCACTTCACTCAAAAAGATTAGGCAGTGTTTGTTTATCTGCTGCAAGCTAAATGAAACCAGCTGTACCAATGAACCAGACTCCAATGCGTCCATTCTTCCTCCAGAGGAAGTCAGGCTGCAATTTGAGTGAGCCATGGAGTTTAAACAATAAAACCAGCAGCTTTGGGGGGTGGGCTGTTACCCTCCTTGGACAGGTGAGCAAAAGAATCCTACTGGCTCAACTTTCAGCTCTTCACAAAGCATGCAGTTCTGAAAACGCAATACACCAAACCACTCTATCCTAGCCTTTTTAAAAATCATTTACCCAATGTTGTATGCTGTGCATCAAATTATAACTGTATGTAACTATGTTCATAGCCTGTCACTGATGATAGGATTATAGGTTTGATTTTTGAAGAAGCTGCAAATATAAGCTTTAGCCCAGTCTTAAAGGCTCGAAGACATCAAAGCAAAACTGAGGAGGAACAGAAAGTGGTCCTTGGGAGCATCCCTTGGTGGAATTCTTAAAGATGGTCAGGTTCACTTCTCTTGGGTACAGTACCAAGTTCCTCTCTGTGGGGAGGTAACTTCTCAAGATACTGGAGGTCCCCATGACAGTTCAGTTATCCACACTTAAGATTGAAACTTCAACGAACCAGGAGTCCAGTGTTTTCCATCTGGGGTTTTCTAACTTTCAGATTTATTCCGACTCCTCCTGATAGCGTTTCAATGAAGTTGACCCCCAGGGCAAGCCGTAAGAACCACACCATTAATCTCACATACTCTGAAAAGGTGGTTAACTGCCACTGCCTTTCTTCCTGGTGCTGCTTGTTTTAATTAACAGCATTTCTCCCCCTATTTCTCCTGGGTCTTTTGAAGAGTGCTTTGGCATGTATTTAGTATATATCAGTCTTGGTTTGGCTAGTCCCTCAATTTATGAGGTCATTTAATTCAAGTTCAATTATTCAGCACAAATTGGCAGAATGAAATACTAAAAGAAGATTGGCACTTTCAATCACATAAATCTCATGTTACATAAAGTGAGCAAATTCTTCCATTGTTCTTACTGACCTCTGAGATAACAATTTACAGCTGGCACAAACCAGCGTGGGCAGGCCTCTGTTTGGTGAGCTCTCCCAGGAGCCAGGCTCTGGCATCCGAACCTCGACAGAAACTGAAGGTAAGCACAGAAAACGGCCAGAGCTCAGGACCATCTGTGGGTGCAGGCTGAGCCAGCACGGGAGTCCAGCTGCAGAGATGCAGCAAAACCGAGCTGTTTTCCTCCAACGACACGTGAAGTCTCAGAACCCTGAAAGCAGCTACATACAGCCTCACATTCACTTCTTCAGAACAAACAAGTGTACAAGTGTGTGCTGATGCACATAGACAAGGCTTGCCACTCCTGTAAAGGCAGGCTCAGGATCGAGCAGGCACCTGTGCAGCCATCTCTGCCAACTTGTCTCCAATGCGTGTGTTCCTCAGGAGTAAGACTTAGAGTTCAAGAGTAATTTTTTTAATGTCTTTTTCCCTTTGAAGCTATTAGAATCCAGCTAACTACAACTACCCCCAAATCATTATTCATAACAAAATCCCGACAGGTGGAATACCCTTTGCTTATAGCATATAAAAACTATGAAACCAAGCATAGTTTACACACGCCACAGCAAGAATGCTGTTGTGAATGCTGTGTCAAACTTGGGAGCTTTGAAATTAAAAGGTCATGAATCAGATTGCATCATCCAAAAAAAAGATGCTGAGCTCTAAACGCTGGCACACCAGAACATAATCTGACTTGAAAACACATCTTGTGTTATAGCAGTCATCAGGTTAACATGGGTGTTTGGAATAGCTCCTAACTCAACACAACTGATGCCCCACTTACAAGGGGAAACGTGGATGGAGACAGACAAGTAAACATATGGGAAAATGAAGGCAACCTGGAATGATGCATCCACAAACCAGCAAGGACGAGGCTGCCAGGGCCTACCGACAGCCTCCAGGAGCTTAGGGAGAGGGCTGCCACACATTCTCCCTCCCACTCCTCCAGTTAGCTCCCTCAACAGGCACCCTGACCACTGACTTATGGCCTATGAAACCACAGGGCAGTAAGCTCCTATTGTTCAAGCCACATAGTTTGCACTGTTATGTCAGCCCAAGAAAACTAATACAATGAAGATTACAACAAAGTCCAAACTTGACACTGCATATCAACTCATGGAAATCTCAGCAAACTCCACCAATGCCAACCAGGCAGCTTTACTGCGAGACGAGAGCTGCCCGTGAGGGGATGCCGAAGGTTATGCCTGAGGATGTGTCCAGGGATGCTGTCACTCACAGGGGAGTCCTCGGGGTTAATGGAGCAACACTCACCAAAACTGAGCCATCTATTTCAGTTGTGCAGGACTTTGGGGACTCGCCACACCAACAGCTCTCAAGCCCTGTTCTTTGGCCTGACCTTGACACGTTAAAGTAAGCAAACCAGGCCGCCTGTCATTTCTCAAAGCAGGTAAGTGGGCAATGACTTTCGTCTTCAGCTGGAGGAAATTAAACAGTACATGTGACTAGCAGGCTTGAATCTGCTCAGGAAATGCTGACAAGATAAATTGAGAACCTGCTGGAATGAAAACTATCAACTGTCTGGGAGCATCCATTTCACAGCCATGGGTACTTTGAACATCTCTCTTTTATTCAAGCACGATAATTATTCAACTGTCTCCAGAATTTTGACATTAATCTTCAAGTTAAAGATTTAATAGAGTTATTAACTTCTTGCTGGTGATCAGTAGAGCACATCTTTTGCGGGCAGGCGTTTCCAAGGGCTTGGTTGGTTTCCTTATAAGGAAACAGTGTGTTTGTTTCTGTTTGAGTCACAACGGAAGTAAGTCACAGCATACGCGAGAACCAACTGCAATATTCAGCAAGGACCCAGACTAAGGCCTTGCACTGTGCAAAGGAATGGAGTAACAGCAAAAAGAATGGTTTCTACCACTAACCACCTGTGTGGATGTGGACAAAAGTTCCATGACACCTGACTAGTCCAACGGAGAGTACAGAATTAGGACCTGTCTTACAGGGCACAAGAGAAAATTAACTGAAAGAGTGTATCATATTTTGCACAAAATAACCGCTTAATATAGTTATCATGTTAATAAATGTAAAAATGAATTTTATGCAATGGAATACTATCATTTTGTTTAGGAAAGAATATAAGAACTTAGGACATAATCCCTTCTAAAAATCAGCCTTATGCTTTAGATAATTACCCTGACATTCCATACTTCTCAAGCAACAGGATCAAGTTATTAATAGCCATCTTTTTAAGCACATATTGTAAATTCATTCATATAGATGTTTTATTCAAATAAAAAATGAATTTTTAAAATATTTACAGATCTCAAAGTTAACTTTGACATTCAGCATTTCTTCATTTTCTTACTTCAATATCTTCCTTTATAAGGAATTATTTTTCAACTTGCTAAATTAAAAACCATAAACCAAGGGTATGGAACATCTGGTCCACGGGTCACATTGAGTCCACAAAGCCATATGGTCTGGCTTTGCCAGGTCAATCACAGGAAGGCTTCAAAATTCAATAAATCAGTAGCAGGCTAATTTCTAAGTTGATAATTTTGCACGCCCTGCGAATAATGTTATAAATATTCAAATGTATCTTGGCAATAAATGGTTCCCTGCTCCTGGATAAGCAAAAGTATGACTATACTCCCAAGAGGCCAAATACCACCCCCATGAGCACACAGTCAAAATTTCCAATTATGCGTTTAAAAAATTTCCTTCTCTTGTTCATGTATTCTTCACAGGTAACCTTCTCTTCCTCTGTAACAATTTTTTTAAGCATTCACATGAAAAAGGCATTTTGACCTAAAAGGATACTCACATTCCTTATCAGAATTATCAGGGTTCATTCTTAACACTGAACCTACTGGAAAAGTTAATCATACAATTCACTTGGAAATCAATTCTCATTATAAAGTTCCAAACCCACTGAGATAGAAAACAAACTCAGGAAGAGAAGTTAAACAGAAAAGATGAGTTGGGCATATTTGTAAATCTGTCTGCTAGCAGGGACAAACAGATCCACTGCCATCAACACTTCCTTAATCCAAAAAAATTCTTTAAATTCTCAGAGGAGAAAAGTCTACTAAGTGAAAACAATATAGACACACCATTACTCAGGGTTAACAGAGAAGATACATGTCAGGTTAAGAAGATGCAAAAACAGATGGACTTACTTGCTTTTCCCTTTGTACACTGTAGCATACGATCCTTCCCCTAGCTTTTCCAGTTTTTCGTATGAGTCAGCTTTTCCAAATTTGGGACTTGTTGGCTAAAAATGAAGCAGAGGGTAAAGAAAATAGATCATATCTAGTACACTAATACTAAACAGCAGGATTCTACTGGGACTACACAGATCCTCGGTCACATTTTCAATAACCTTTTCCTGATGTAACTTTTAAAAATATATAACAAACAGTATTAAACTGAAAAACGCAAATGAACACCATGTAGAATTAAATTTCTGCACGATGTAACTGAGGCAGGCGATGGAAGCACCTTTGATACCCCTGCTTCCAGATTTATCTCTACGCCATACATGTTCTTGTATAAAGTTTTCTTTAATTCAACAGGTGGTAAACATCTTCCACGCTGTTTCATACTCTTCTAAATTAGGGACCAGCAAACAATGGCCCATGGGTCAAATCCCAACCACCACCATTGTTCATTGAGCCCATGAAATTACAATGGTTTTTACCTTTATAATCATGGGCAGGGACAGTGGGAAATCTAAACTATATTAGGGCTTTAATCTATAATGGAATTGCAGTTATAAAACAGAGTAACATAGTGGAAAATATTTACTCTGATTCCTGTTGTAAATTATGAAAGTGCAATAGTCAAATAAAAGTACCCCTCCAAAAACTTCTTGTAATACTTCAAGCCAATAATGAGATGTGTCACTAATACAAAATAGAATCCTTATGTAAACTCATCTTTTAAACCTTACTTGCAACCAAATAACTTTTCCCTGACAAAGATTATACACAAAATGACCAAAATGCAGTAACCAACCCCTCATCTTTTTCGTACTCAACTCTAAAATATGAGAGTAAGAAAAACGCATTGCTGATTTCCATGGGAGTCAAACACTGCTCTCTTACTTCAATGGATAATTATCTCTTGTGTTAATTACACTATAAAAGGGTGATATCAAAAAATACTAGAAAATAAAGAATAAGGAATTAAACACATCTTATAAAGGGGATCGCAGTTGAAAGTTCCTAATTCATTCAAAAATTGCTGGTATTTTATAGATAAACCATTTTTAAAGTTTACTAAAAGAATTTTCTACAGAAACGAAATAGTTCACTATTGAGTTTGTTTTAATGCTTTTCTGATTATACTCTCGTACCAGTTAGCAAGGACATGCGTGTGCACACGCACACACACACGCGTGCACACGCACACACACACTCAACATGAAGGTGATAGTCCTGACCCGCAGTTGATAAGGATCTGTGCATCAGATTAAGCACATGCTACATATGTGCTCCTCCAAGCCACAAAACCACAAAGTGACTGAAAAGAAGTATCTTTCAAGCCTAGTAAGACAGAATGATACTATAGTAAGACAGGAGGGTGCTATGCCCCCATAGGAAATCTTGAGGAACCAGGAAGGCAGGAAAGTCGGTCAAACCAAACTCCCCAAGAAAAGCTGCCGCATGTAAAGAAGGCTATCAGGCAAAAAAAGCAGGAAGTTCCAGGTGGAGATGAGCATCAACGTGGGGGGGGGGGGGAGCGGAGAACACACCCACCACCACCACCACCACCACCACCACCACCACCACCACCACCACCACCACCACCACCACCACCATTTGGGACAGGAGGGTAGAACACAGACAGACCCAACAGGAAAGCACAGAAAATCAGAAATGTCTGCTCTCCCCTACGACTTAACCCGTGCCTGTTTTGCACAGTTACTAAAGAAAACATAACAAAAATAAGGTATGTTAAAAATGATTGTCAAAAAAATGGAGGATATAAAATCAAAACTGAAATCATTTCTGAAAAACCTCAGATATGCTATAGCATAGTGGTTAAAGTCCTCGCCTTGCACTCACCGGGATCCCATGTGGTCATCGGTTCTAATCCCAGTGGCCCTGCTTCTCAACCAGTTCCCTGCTTGTGGCCTGGGAAAGCAGTCGAGGATGGCCCAAAGCCTTGGGTCCCTGCATCTACGTGGGAGACCTAGAGGAAGCTCCTGGCTCCTGGCTCCTGGTTTTGGATTGGCACAGCACAGCACCAGCCATTGTGGTCACTTGGGGAATGAATCATTGGACGAAAGATCTTCCTGTCTCTCCTCCTCTCTGTATATCTGACTTTGCAATAAAAATAAATAAATCTTTTAAAAGAATAAATAAAATGAACAGAACTAAACAGTTTTCAAAAGAAGACCTACCAATGATCAACAGGTACATGAAAAAGTATTCAGAGCAGTCATCATCAGGGCCATGCAAATCAAAACCAGAGAGAGACACCATGTCACCTCAGCTGGACAGGCTAGCGGCAGAAAGTGTAGATGAGGGTGTAGAGGAGAGAGAAACCCTGCTTGGCAGGAAGGTACATTTTCACACCTATTGTGGGAAACAACAGGAACTTTCTGCAAAAACAAAAAACCTAAAAAACCCAGAATTACCATATGATTCAACTAATCCACCACTGAATTTATATGCAACGAAAATGAAATTCATCTGTTGAAGAGTAACCCGGATTACCAGATGTAGTGTAGCATTACTCATGGAAGACAAGAGATGGAAAAAAAAAAAACCTGTGTCCATCCACTAAGGAATGACTAAATGGTGCATAATTCAACCACAAAAATAATGAAATCTTACCAACCTCAGAAAGACAAGTAACCAAGGATCTCACTCATATTTGGAGTCTTACAAAAAAGATGATTGCATAGGAATTAAAAGTAACACTGAGAAAAGACTAACAGATACTGAGCATTAGCTATACCAGAATCAAAAATCTGGGCTCCATTAGGTATGAGGGTACCTACAGTAAGTTCTGTATGTTTCTCTTCCAAAAAAAAAAAAAAAACAAGGCAAAAAAAGGGAGGGATGAATTTTTGATGTTCTCATCAAAATAAATGTTAAGTGTTTAAAGCAACAGGTATATTTACACTAATTAGACATCACACAATTTCTACATGTATTAAAACATTACATATTATGCCACAAGTACATAACATTTTACACCTTCATTTTTTTAAATAAAAGAATAAAAGTAAAATAACAGTAATGCAAGACATGGAAATGAAGCATGGCCAAAAAACCCAAACACTGTAAGAACATTGAAACAGATGATTATCCAGAAAGTCTCATTTAAAAGAGAACCAAACAGATCTTAGAAATCCAAATGAAACCATGATTACAAGGGCAGATCTGTTCTTTTCACTGATTAACCTCAAATACCATGGATGGTTCTTGTATACAAATATTTGAACACTCAATATACATCTCAAATGCATCTAAGAAAAATCACATAATCTAGAAACAAAGTCCCTAACTTAATGAAGATTTAAATTTTTTAAAATTTGAAATTGAAGGTTACAGAAACAGAACAAAGAGAAGCAAAGAGCTCCCATCCTGGGTTTCATACCTTTAATTCCAGCACTGGAGCTAAGCCACCAGTCACGAACTCAATTCCTACACTGGCAGGAAGTTGTAGACAGAAGCCAGAGCACTTGATGTGTGAGGCAGGTGTCAGAGATGGCTAGGTTCACATGTACTCCACAAATAAAGACCATTTTACAGAAAGTTATAACAAACCTTGTATTTCATGGGGAAGCATCTGACTTACTACTTTCAAATCCAAGAACATAATGAATCTCCTAATCTCCCCTACTTAGGAGCCACTAGTGGGTTTTCAGTGTTGTAGTTTACAGGGTAAAGTTATCACCTTCAAAGCTGACATCCCACAAGGGTGCCAGTTCAAGTCCCAGATGCTCCGCTTCCAACCAATTTGGACACTACAGTTCATTTCCTACTGATAGTGTTGAAGGAAGAAGTCGGTTCCTCCTCAGGCCCTATGACTACACACTGCCAATTTTGTAATGAAATAGAAAATAAATATAAGCATTACTTTCAGAAAAAAATCAAACCTCCTAGAGCTACGTAACAGTTTTGACATCAACTAATATAAATCAATAAATATGAAAACCTCCCAGTAAAACTGACTTGCCCAAGTCCATATATTGAGTCTTAATTAGATGATTATATTCCTCAGAAAACAAGCATATACTTAATCTGCTTCTATTCAGCATTCAGTTTCAGAAAAAATATAGCAACACAACTTCGTGATTAATGATGTTTTAACACAACATGTTGGGCCCAGCACAGTAGCCTAGCAGCTAAAGTCCTCTCTTTGAATGCACCAGGATCCATGTGGGCACCAGTTCTAATCCTGGCAGCCCTACTTTCCATCCAGTTCCCTGCTTGTGGGCTGGGAAAGCAGTTGAGGACAGCTGCATGAGAGACCCGGAAGAAGTTCCTGACTCCTGGCTTTTGATCGCCGCAGCTCTAGCTGTTCTAGTCACATGGGGAGGGAATCACTGAACAGAAGATCTTCCTGTCTCTCCTCCTCTCTGTATATTTGACTTTACAATAAAAATCTTTAAGAAAAAGACATCATATTAACTAAATGACAAGGGTTTCCTTGATATTAATGTGTATACATATTAACATTCAGATTTGGTGGTGGTCCCATAACATAACCATGTGGCTTCAATGATAACATTTATTTTCTCATACTTCTGGAAACCAGAATTGTGACATCAAACTGTTGGCCAGCCTGGTTTCAATCCTTGGCTTGCAGGTGGCCACCCTCTCAGTGCCTTCACAGTGGTCCCTGTGGGAAGTGCAGCCCTGCCTTAAGGTTTCACCCTCTGACTTCAGCAGAGCCACATCCAACCCTGTCTGTATTTTCACCACCTCTTTAAAGACCTTATCTGCACGCTTCTGTGAGATGAGGAGGGCTGGGACTTCAATAGAGGAATCACAGAGAAACATAATCCAGGTCATAACAAGGCAGGCAGACAGGTAAGGAGGTGGGCAGAACAATCAAACATAATTAATTCAGGCAAGAACGAAGGATAAAAAGAGGCAATGCTGTAAAGCTGTTTTTCCTGAGATTTAACAAGCTTGCACGTGAGTTAAAACATGCATTGCAATAATATGTATGTCCTTCGAGCTCTTTAAGCATTGCATTCATATAGGACCATCTTTTTTTTTCTAAAAAACATGGGAGATGTTGACCATGTGC